AAAAAAGTAATGTTTTGTTAAATATTTTGAAATAACAAACTTAAAAATAATTAAATATATACAGTTAATTGTAAAATTTCTTAAACTAAAACTTAGTTTTTATTTTTTTCAGATCCTTACTATTTTACACTTTGTTTACCATCGTATGGTATATATTGTGATTTTACTGGATTTCCAAATGTACTTCGTTGCAAAAGGTAAATATAATTTTTCATTTTCAGTAAAATGCGTTTTATTAATGTAGATATAAAAATTGTTTTATTTAAAACAGGATCCAACCTGCAGCATGCTCGAATCTGCATTATGTGGATGATAAAATTCAAAATATGAAGCCCTACAACGACATGATTATTTAAAATTGTTAGTCATTTTTCTCAATAGCCTAGATTAAAATATATACATTTAATAATTGATCTGAATACTATTACGTCTAGAATTTTAAGTAATTATAAAAAAATTATTTTGTGAATTAATAATATTTCATTTTACTAGAATATTTTGTGTTGTATTCATTTTTTAGCGAGCCCTATTGGTCTTATAATTTAGAACATCGTATATACATAAAAAAAAAATTATAATTTATAAATAATAAAAAGTATCTCCTATAACATAATCAAAAATATTAATAATTATGAATTATAATATATTCGAAAATTTAATAGACATTGATGATTTGAATTAAATATTAGGCACGTGGAGTACTGTAGAGGATAATTCAAATTATTTCTAATAACATTAATTTTCATAAAAAGTAATTTTCGAAAAGATAGTCTAATTTAACAATAATTACAATCTGGATCGGATGTGATATAATTACAATTTATTTACATTGTTGAAGTAGACATTCAAAATGGTTTTTTTTTTTTTTTTTGTAAATATATTTCAAACAATTAAAATAATTATGCTATTTTTAACTCAAACAAAATCAATAACCTAACTTTGTTGCAGGATCAGAATACTGGCATATATCTTAAATATGTAACATGTTATCTGTAATTTTTATTTATTATTAAAAGCAATTAAAATACCTAAATTATATTTTTTAATTACCTATTTATATTGTTTTTTTTTTTTTTTTTATAATGTTTAAGAAGTTTCGTCGATATATTGATTAGTCATTAACTTATTGATATCTGATACATGGAAATCAAATCGAGTGTAAATGATTATAGTATATCAAGAAAATATATTTTAAACTTGTTGAAACTTATATTTACAAGCTAAGAGTATAATTAATTGGTTCTTAGAAATATAGTTGTATTCAATGAAAATATAGCAGGTTTTTATCAAGTTTTAAGAGAAGTAAAAAATAAAGGAATATTTTAAGGCGGCAAGTATAGTGAATAAAACGTATAACATGCTTAAGAAATTGCCTACCTAACTACTTCTTCTTCGTAGTTCTGATTAGATTTAATGTATTATTTATTTTTTAACGATCAAATATAATTGCACGATAATTAGTAATAAGTCAGAAAACTATACAGGATATTTCAAAATCATTTAAAAATATTGAGTTTAGCACTATTAAAAATAATAAATTACAAAAATATCTTGTTGTTTCTAAAAATGTACTACTTATATCGAATATTATGATACTTGATGAGTAACATTGTGATAGAATACCGACTAATATTATCTTATAGTATAGCTGAACATTTCAAAGAGAAAAAATTCTTAAAAATAATATCAAAATAATTAATTGTAAGCAATAAACTAAACCAAATATAGGAACCGAATGAGTTGAAATCTACCAGAGTGCGCCATGCGTACCGTTTTCTTTGCACAACTTAACAGAAAATATTCAACGACTTCACAGTTTTGGGCTTTTACGATTGACTACCTTGAATAAATAATATTGAAAACATCATTATTTTATTACCGGTCACCCTATTTTTGTTAAATTATAATTTGATATATATTTACATATTATTTAAACCAATTATAGTCGTGACGCCGCGCTATGGGAAACTCGAAAGACAGATACCTAAACAGCTGTGCGGTTATTAGATTTAAATTTCAATGCTTCGAAGTGAGCAGTTTTTAATTGTTTGCAATTCATTTTTTAATTTTGTGCCTTAATGCACATACCGCTCGACTTCTCTCTCAGTATCACCATATTGTGTGTCGCTGATAAAATACGTGAAAATTGTAATAATTTACCAGTTGCAATAAATTTAAAAAAAAAAAGTTTAATCGTGTACAATCGTGCAAACATATAATAATTCATTCGTTAAATAATAAAAATCAAATTAATTAATTTACCGTTTACCATCTAAATACATTCAATGACGTCATTCTTAACCATAGTTTTAATAACAACTATTAGTTGTATCATAGGATGGGAAAACACAGATTAGTACACACTTGCAACTGCACTATGGAGTATAGATGGTAACTGCAGTTTTAACAAGTTATAAAATTATACATAAAATGTATACAATTAAAATGATTCGTGATTTATTATTTAATAAAAAAACAATTTTTAATGTTTTTCTCCATTTAAACTTAAGTGTATATATTTTTTGAAGAATAGTGGAATGTAAATGGGCTCTTGAAAAATATCATAAAAAATGTAAGTTAAATATAAGTATAAATGATATAAGACGGTTAAGTACTATCTAACATCCTATATAAAAGTAAAAAAAAATTTTAAGAATGGTTTTAAATCGTAAAAATCATAAATACTTGTCGAATGGTTGCACGTGCATTAGGTATATGCTGCATATTATCTCGTTCTCAGTCAAATCTATACAAAATGGAATTTCAACAAAACTTATTAAAAAATAGACTAAAAATACTTTCATGATTAGTTACTCAATTAATTTAAAGAACACTTCTAAAACCCAAGCTTTCAGCTATAATACTTTTCCCAAAAAATAGTAAACATCAACGAAATCTATAATTTTATTAGTGCCTAGCGAATGTTCTTTTTTAATTATTTAAAATTATGTATCTTATTATGTATTAATACTTAACCTATATATTATCTAGTAACTTAGTGCCTAAAGATGGAATCAAGTTATAATTTTTAAATTTCTAGGTTAATGAATTAAATACTTTTTACTTATAACTTATATAATTCTTTATTATCATTAACAATTTAAAATGCTCTAGAACTGGGCGTAGACTGATTTTTTTTTTCAATTATTCAATAAGTACTGACTAATTGCGTGTGTGCGTGTGTGTGTGTGTGTGTGTATGTGTATATTATTAACGTACATATATTAGATATTTATACACAGCATGTAATAAATGTTACAATATAGTGTTATTATTTTTATAAAAATATCAATTTTTTTAATAAATTATGATATATCATTACATATTCAAAAATTAAATCAGTTATACGAACAAAAAAAATATTAATAATTGAAAAACAATGGTATAAGCATACTTTTAAAAGTATTAAAACTTTTGGATTAAGAAAAAAATATTTTAATACGAACTAAGATAAATTTGAAAAAATATGTAAATGTTTATTAACAGCACAATAGGTCAAAAAATAAAATACGAGTTTATAGTTTATTTACAGAAACTCAGCTATAAAAACTTAGATAATTATTATAATTGCTAGATTTTATTTAAAATTTGTTAAGTAAATATTTTTAAAACCTCTAAAAAATTAAACAATTAATAATAATCAGGTATATATTTTTCTATTTAAGGCAAGCCATTCTAAGACATTTCAAACTTTTGCCATCAAATAAAAAAAATAATTGCAAGAAATCACTTCAAATTTTATTGACAGGTAAAAACGTTATTTGTGTATGAGCTAACATTTTTGTACATTCATTATATCTGTAGTATAATATCGATAATGATTTATACGTTTAAATCGATATTAAGACGTATAACATTATGAACTTGCCACTTTATATGTAGGCATACAATAGCTACAAAGTAACGGCTACATTACATTAAAACTACAGCCGATATGTACCAGTCATACTATTAAACTTAGTTTAATTAAGTCAGCATTTCTCTAATTTAAATATTTCCACTGTCTGTTAACATGATTATAATTTATATAAATTATTTATTTATAACACTCTTCTTAATTATCAACATTATAACAGGCATTAATCCATGAATTGTTTCGCTCATGTTTATAATGAGACTAAAATATGAATTATTTAGATCCGTTCATTGTAATTCTGATATTGATAATTTATAAACCTAGTTTCAGTAAAAATGTTGAAACTCGTAAGTTCCACATGAAATTAATTTTGATTTTTCTGTCTATAAGTTGTCTGTACATTTTATTTTTATACGATTAAAAATAAAAAATAAATGGAATTCCTGCGGTAATGGGATTTCAAAAATATTTACTTTTTGTCATACTTGTTTAATTGTGTAATATCGCTTAGAGAGGCAATATACATTAATTTAATAGTTGTATAGATGATAAATAAAGACCAATTTTTTATTATATTCAATAAATTGCATTTTACGTCAATGCTTAACATTATAATGACGTCATATATTTGACTGGTTTAAAAGTTGTAGCCTATGACTAAAAACAGAGATACTAACATTTTTTAATTCTCAACAATATCGATAAATTATACTAATTATCTGTCATTACACACGACGCCGTAGATGTTAATATTAAATTTTGTTAGAATACCCCAATTTGAATAAATTTAATTTTTCCTTAATCGCTTACGTCCAAATTTAATTTTTTTTTTTTTAGTTCTTTATTTCCATATCTCTTCGAGTAAATTAGCACCTCAATATTTTAAGAATTTATATAGTATCTATCTCTGTAGACACTTGATTTCTTAATTATTTTCTATATTCTCAGCTGTTTGAATACAATATAATTTATAAAAAACGCATATTAATATAATATACCAATTATGTATCCAATGATTATAAATTATAATACTCAGTTTAAGTAAATCACAGGAAAACAAAACTATTCGGATGTAAACGTTTATTTTACAATAAAAAAAAAAAAAATATATATATAATAAATTAAAATAAATAAATAAATAAATAAATAAATAATACAATAAGTATGTATGAATGCATAATGTCAGTATTTTGAATAATAATTTTCATATTAATATCATTCTCGTGATATATAGATTGACTTTTAACTATTGTTATTAAAACCAAAAATATTGAGCAATTTCGTAGGCCAGGTTTTATCCCGTGAGTATCATGCATGTTATATTTACGTATAAATGTGCGTCATGCATGATCAGCATAAAAACGACAAACTAGTTTTTTTTAACATTAAATTAAGTGCAATATATTAGTTTAAATTAAGTAAACAAACAAAAGTCTTTACACTAACACTATAAGTTTCAAATTAATTATTAAATATAATCTAACTGACCAGACTAATGAGTTGTCAAACTATATATAATCCTAATTTTATTTTGTTAAGGACGATTACGATCCTAATTAAATAAAAGTATATATAATAAATAAGGAGTGTGCACACAAGTTAATGATAATAATATGGCCTAGTTTAGGAATTACAGGAAAATTACTTTCCTTAGAATAAGAATGTTTTCTCATAACGTCTTTTAATTTATATAGTCAGACGATAGAGACTGTTTATAAGAATGCCGATTCCTGCGTTCAGCTCATCCCTCTGAATAATTAGCCCCCGACGAATGTATATACAATTATTATTCATTGTATAACACTCGTTACTCTTTAGTATTTTTAGATTACAGATAATATAATAGTTAAAAAAAATAACGATAGGTATTTAAAAAATAATTTCCTAATTTTCTAGTTTTGGTTAGAGTGAAGAGAAATTGGAAAATGAAGCTGATTATTGACTCGGTATTTGAGCTCCAAAGGCCATGTCCTGTGCTTCAACCTGGGGTTGTGAGGTCCTTGATACTCGTCTAATATAACGGCTGATGCCATCTCCATGTCCTCCAGATGAACCACCATTATTTTGTTCCATCACAGAAGGCTCGGTGGCCACAATACTCCTACCCCAGATGCTACCTCCATAACCGTGATGGTCATCAAACTCTCCGTGCTCTGGTGGCTCATAATGGTGTTGGTGGTGAGCATTCTCGTAGTACACAACTTTGTCGTGGTGGTGGTTCTTACTCCACTTGATATCGTACCAGATCTTGAAAGTGTTGGATATAGCGTAGATCATTGCCACAACCAAGAACTTGCTCATCAATATCGATTGGATTGTCATTATGATCATCTTGATCTTTTGTTTGAATAGATAGATACCGAACAAAACCTTCAACACGAATTTCTTGATTTCCTTTTGGATCTTCTTCTTCTTGTGATGTCCTCTACCTACAGAAACAAAACGTTTAAATTAAGCATTTTTTTATTTTTTTATTAAGTTTATAGTTGGTTAAAAAAAAAAAAAAAAAAAATAGTGTATTAATTGAATCACTCCACGTTTAGTAAGCTTAAAATTTATGTGCGCTCATAGGTGCATGCAGTCGATGGCATAACATCGTGGAAGAAGCCAACTGTGATAGTTAGAATACTCAGAAAACGGAAACACGAGAGACAAACAAGACAATCTGGATGGACAGATAAGGTCGTTGATCGAAAAAACGGTTGCTTTCATACGGCGCAGCGGATACGTGACCTAGTTTAATTAATTTATTGTCCACTGATTTCAATCTATTTTTATTTACAACCGGTTCCCAAAGTTGTACACATCTTGATTTAAAACTAGTTGGCCTACATACAATCAAGTATAATAAAGACACTCGTATACCTGATAATCATTTGCTTATGGAAATTATATCCTTGGCAATGGCATTAACCTTGCACATCAATTAACTTCGTGTCCACGTGTCCACGTGTCGAATTATCTAGGTATATATGCGTATAAAACCGGACAAGACGTTTTCAACGAGGTGAATGAAAATACATCGCAACAAAAATAGTAAAATCATACCGCAATCAATTAATAATTAATAGGTAAATAAACCGAAGAATATTAGATTTTTATTCCAATGTTATTAAAATATTAAAAAAAAAAAAAAATGAAATGTTTTATATTTGTTATATTTTGAGAGTAATTTAATTTTAACTCTAAAAACAGTTGTCATAAGAATTAATTACTGTAAATTATTGATTATCATCGTTAGTTAGTGATTATGAACATTAAATAAGTAATCTATTCGTAAGTAAAATTATTTATCATTAAATTTCAAATTTAATTATCTTTGATGGTATATACGTACAATATTATTTTAATGTCAATTTTTGCTTACGCTGTATTAGCATACACGTTTAAAAAACTTTATCGAACAGAAAAGGTAAAATATACAAAAATGGTATCATTAAAAAACAACCAAACCAACAATATTTTTTAGTGTACATATTTGTGTTTAAAACTGGTTTATTTCAAAGATATTTAAGACTTACTGTCAACGATTTAAACTGGACGCTATAATAATTGATTGCTGGTATGTTGCGGTTAATCCGGTTGGGACAATTTAATACGATATATGGTAACCTAGTCCGACAGAAATTCTTACAAACTTTTACTACTAGAAAGATTATGTAAAGGAGACATTTTATGTTCTACGAGTTTATTTAAAAAAAATGTCATATATTTCCCTAGGACTGGATTATTGTTCACGATTTCTCTTGTTATTTATCTTAATACTAAAATATACTTAAATTTAATACTCCAAAAATATAATAAAATAATGTTTCCTTAAAATTTTTACGCTATCTTGTTTTTTTTTTTTTTTTTTTGTTTTGAAAATATGATGGTTATAATTACGTAAATAGATTTGGTTTCGATTTTTATCACATTATTTTTCCATCTACCTGATATAAATAAGTAAATACTTGGTTTATATAAATTATTAGTAATAAGTAAAATGTATACGATCGTTTTCAATATTAAAAGATTTTTTTTCGTTATCTTCACACATAGTAATGTACGAGTGCTATATGAAAGTAGACAGGGAAAATATTAAACGAAAAGTTAAAATCGAAATATGAAAATTCACTTTTGTGTTTTACGCTCTAATTAATGCGGTGTAATTATAAGCGCGTTATATGCATTTGAAAAAACAAAATCTCTTTAACGCGTCGCAATAGTAATTTATTATAACTATATAAATGTATAAATAGTTTCATTGAGTAAAATTATTCAACATTAAACCCTTACAATGTTTTATAAACATGTCAGCTGCATAAAATAAAAAAAAAAAAACAATTAACAACAGTTTAAAAACAATATTTTACTGCATATGATTATTTTTTATCTATTACATATTATAGGTGCCAATTATATGAGTTGCAATAACGTTTTATAATGCACGTCGTTTTTTTATTTAATTTCATTTCGCGTATTCCCATGCCTATGAAATATTATTCGAATATTATAATAATTATCCCATTACTTGTTAGCGCATTAACTGTTAATTCTAGTTTAGTTAGTCCACATAACTAATTTTATAGCTTTATTAATCACTAGTTCCCGTTAAAGCCATTAACGGAGTTTTTTCAGATATTCGGGAATGCATAAGTTTCTACATGACCGGTTGTTTTAAAAACGAGTTTTTACGCAGATCTGTAATAATAATACGTATATGCATAATTGGGAGGTATATTTTTTAACACAGATATGCGAGTATCCGGTTCATGAATCGCAGTTGGAAGATAAAAAATATATTAACAACATTGATAGCATTTTTACGTTACAAATCCACTTGTTGTGTAATTAAATACGAATAGGTACTCTTGGACATGCGGTTCAGTCCACCTTATAGTTTCCGACTGCGGTTTTTTAAGTGTGTAGTCCATTAGTTTAAAAAGATGGCGAAACATATACATAAATTATCATATTTTTTTTCCGGATCGAAAGAACTGGTTTGACACCTCGGGTTTAATCTTTCTCCAAACGTTCGTGTGTTATTTGTCCTCTACTGTAACACTTTTATAAACTGGTTTAGTGGTAAATTTCAAAAAAATGACCACCCACAAAAAATTAACAATATTATACTCGTATTGCGAACGTTGGCCGTGTGATGGTATAATGATGCGATGCTAGTGACCAATAAAACCGATTCGACACATGATGGACACTAAAAGAAATCCAAAACGCATTGGAGTCGACTACTCAAAGGCGCTATGAAATAATTCACACGAACTGTGAACAACTATACACGCAACTGCACGAATATTAATAATTATTCTCCGGGACGGCTGTTCATACTCAAATAAGAAATAACTATTATCCTTGGACAGTGGTTAAAAAGAAATAACGCTCACGAGCCTTTGATGACGGTGAACAACGCCACAAAGATGTTCAATTGTGACGATAGAATCTCTACGAGAAATCTTATAAACGCGGTAGGTGTTAATAACTTCGGTGAAAGTCCCATATTATACTGTATCATCTTCACGACGGCGTGGCGCGGTATAATATAATATTTGTGTTCCTGCGGCCTTGCGGACCATATTATCACACGTGTGATTATTAAAACATAAGCTATACATATTTTCCTTTAGAGTGTACAGAACGTGAACGTTTTCACTTCACAGAGATACAAAAATAATACATTTTAATATGAAACCCATTGGGCAAATATCGAACAAACAGAAATTGGAAAACTCAATCGTAGATCGGTGATTGTGTTTAGACGAGTTTCGTGAGTGACAAGGCCAAGCTAATTTGAAAATCGAATATCTTACTATGGACGTATTGTTCGATCGTACTCCGATCAATGTCACTCCCACGTATATCGATATATACCTACACATTTCTACAGCTATAGTGAATATTTACACATGTGTGATATTATGTGTATTTTACAACAGATACATACGATATATAGTGTGTTATTTTATTCATTTGTATTATTCGGTTCTGTGTATAGTTTATTAAGAGATATGAATGGAAGAAAACCAATAAAAAGTAGGCGATGGTTGATGAGTTAAGAAAATGTATATAATAAGTTTTCCTTTATTCTCTGCAAAGAAACAATGATCATGGCTAAAATTGTAGTTCTCAATTTCTAACTGTACGTATCGATCGACAATTACTTATAATAATTTACATTTGAATATTGTCTACAATGCTATTAAGACTCTATTATGATACTTAAATAACTGCGCCAAATGTAATACTCGTAGTCAATTTTAAATTATATTAACTGCCGGCTATCATTAATTGTTAATATTATGTTCAGAAATTATATTTTTAGGCTTTGGATAGAATTTGTTTTACGGAAGACTATTTGATATTTACATTAAGTGTCTGTACGTATAAATGTAAAACATATATTTTTGAATAATTCATATTATTTGTTTAAAAGCTGTAAGTTATGCAATAAATACAGTTTTATTTGTAGGATTTTCATTAATAACTATTATGCGTACCGTATTCACGCGTAACCGGATCACGTTTGTCCAGTTCACTTGATTTCATTAATTTAGCTTAAAAAGTAGATATATTACGCTAAAAAATTACTGCTACGCTACAGTTTATTTTAATTACGTGTGAACGAAAATGTGTAAACATAGTGTCTAATAATAAAATACTATTTCACCTGGCGCCTCAGACCGAATGAACAATTGTATTTACCGTGTACACACACAATGGTTTATAAATAACGCATTTATTTATTATCGTTTAGTACGTTTAGTAAATAGTAATTTTAAACAGTAGTAATATAATAGCGTAATGATATCATATTGTGTTTTATGTAAAAGTCAGAAATCGTGTAGTTAAAAAAAGTTCTTGGTGCTCATTAATAATATATACGTCATTATACGATCGATGGCATCAATGTTTAAAAATAAAAGCAATATTATATTAATTGTTAAAATAATATATTGTAATGCTTATTAAGTTATTAAATTAATTAAAAATAACCTTTTAAATTAGTTAGTGTTTTAGATAGAGATACAGAAAAGAGACACAAATTGATTTTTACAGTCGAAATAAAGTAAAAATTTTTAATATTATAATTCGTTTTAATTGTTTAAGTTTTAAGTTTAATACATGACGAAATACATTTTTAATTTAACATTGTTAAGTTGAATATTATCTGTAATATTTTGATTTATAAAAATCGAAACTCAGACGAATAGTTTATAAGTTATAGTATTTAAAGTTTAGGTAAGCGAGTTGAATGGTATTCAAAATGTTTGCCTACTACTTCAAGTTCACTAAACTTTAAATATTGATTACTATAAAGTATCTCCAACCTTAACTAAACTTAACGATAAAAGGTATTATTTCATTTGAGCATAAAATAATGTAAAACAAATATTTCAAAACGTTAAATAATTTTAAAATAATGAGCGGTTCACGATAAAAGAATCACCCATGATTAGCGGCAAGCAGGATGTTTAATAATGCTTGTGAAACAATATATTTCGTAATGATAT